CCCCCCCCTCCCTCCCCCCACTGCCTTTCTCTCCTTTCCTCCCTCCCCTACCAAGTCCTCCCCTCCCCTCCTTCCTCCCGCTGCCTTTCTCCCCTCCCCTCCTCTCTCCTCCCACTGCCTTTCTCCCCTCCCCTCCTCTCTCCTCCCACTGCCTTTCTCTCCTTTCCTCCCTCCCCTACCAAGTCCTCCCCTCCCCTCCTTCCTCCCGCTGCCTTTCTCCCCTCCCCTCCCGCCTCCCCTCTTGCCTTCTTCTTTCCTTAAGATAATGCAGCAGCAGGCAGCCCTCATGGCTGCAGCACAAGGGACCTGCCTGAACCCCATGGCCGCCATCGCCGCCGCCCAGATGCAGCAGATGGCGGCCTTTACCCCGATGACCCCTTCGTCAGGTACCTGTCAGCCCCGCTCTGCCTCTGCCGCGTGGGTTTCCAGGCCCTGCCGTGGCAGCCAGAGAGCAGGTCTGGGTAACGCAGGGGCTGGATCCCCTGGGAATTGGGGAGCCTCCATCAGGCATGTGGAGGGGACCCGTCAGCTCCTTCCCTAACAAGCTGTGCCCATGCAGGGGTTGACTTCGACTTGTCAGCTTAGAAGAGAGACGGGTATGGGGGGATTGGTAGAGGTCTATAGAATCATGACTGGTGTGGGAAAAGTGAGTAAGGAAAAGTTATTTACTTGTTCCCACAACATAAGAACTAGGGGTCACCAAATGAAATGAACAGGCAGCAGGTTTAAAATAAACAAAAGAAAGTTTTTCTTCACTCAGCGCACAGTCAACCTGTGGAACTCCTTGCCAGAGGATGTGGTGAAGAGCAGGACTTTAACAGGGTTCAGAAAAGAGCTAGACACATTCCTGGAGGTTAGGTCCATCAATGGCTGTTAGCCAGGATGGGTAGGAAGGGTGTCCCTAGCCTCTGATTGGGATCACGTGAGGATTTCCTGTTGTGTCCGCTCCCTCTGGGGCACGTGGCACTGGCCGCTGTCGGCAGACAGGACACTGGGCCGGATGGACCTTTGGTCTGACCCAGCCTGGCCGCTCTTCTGTTCGCTGTTTGTTAAAAGCCAACAAGCCAGTGATCGCGGTGCACCGACAGGCCCCGTGCGGGCCCAAAATGCTCCCTGTCCGCTCTCAGCACCCCCGAGCTAATGCTCTCCTTCTGTCTCCCGCGGCCCCTTTGCATGGGGGTTAGGTACAAGCACACCCCCTGGGATCAGCACAGCGCCCGTCCCCAGCATAGCCACGCCCATCGGGGTGAACGGCTTCAGCCCGCTCCCCCCACAGACCAATGGGCAGCCAGCCTGGGAGACCATCTACACCAATGGAATCCATCCATACCCCGGGAGGT